AATTGAATTGAATTGAATTGAAAATGTTTTTGAAGATCCTCAGATCCAACTACAAACACAAAGAGAACTGAACTTGCGCAAGTTTCTTGAAGACAGTTCATCCAAAAGCCTTTTTCCAGTTTTGACAAGTGGGGAGTCCCAGAGAGTCCAGCTCCTGCTGGGTTGGGCTGTTAGCACCTGGACAGTAGTAGAGGTCACAAGTGAGTCCCTAAAGCAGCCAGCCATCCTGTGAGTCACGGAGGTTGGCTGGCTAGAGCTGTGAGTGGAAGCTGCCTGTGTGTGGAGGGCCGACACAACTCATATTATAGAGCACCCACTAACTGTATACAACAGATAGATATAGCCACCGTAATGCCACTTATTAGTTGCTGTGGACATCTATTTTGAAGCCTGTAGTTTGGTATTTGGTTCTTTTGAAAACAGGCATAGAACTGACGGACACTTGTGACACAGTGATACACTAGAAAGCTTTTAACGACAGCGTGGCCCCACTCTGAACACCTCCTGCCTGACCAGGTGCTTCACTCCACCTGGGACCTGCCTGCTTCGCCTTGTAATGACTGCAAAGAAATTGGTAACTTAGTTTTGGATAAATATTTGATTTATGCATTTAATGTCTGCACTTCTATTTTAAATTTGTAAATCATTTAGTTTATTTAAGATTTCTCTGTACTTTGAATTACCCTTTGTGTGAAATGTGTTCTACAAATAAAGCTATCTTATCCTGCCTCGCCATGTTTAACAAAATGAATGTCATGTTGTGTTCAAGAAGCCTTTTAGGTGAAATGTCTTTAATAAACTGAAATCCAGTGGATATTTTAAAGATCCCTATAACAAAAATCTTTTTTGTTTGTTGTCTTTTGTGTTTTGGTTTTGTTAACATGGAGTTTTTTGTATGCTGGTATACATATGATGAGTGATCAAGATGGCTGAGCATTTCCACCTTGAAACAACAATACACCAACCACTGTCTGAAATAACCCTTACTCAGCCTTTGAGGGTTTCATGTGTAACAAATCTAAGAAACCAACCCTGTCACCTTGTGGACTGGGGCGTACCTTATCATTATTCTTCTTTATAATCGGTGTTCAGCTCGAAAATATCCAACTCAATACTGTAATATCAGACCATGCCACTGTGCAGCATATAGAAGATTTACAGTGTTTTAGCAGTGTCATAGTCCAGCTAGTAAGCTCCGGCTGCAGCGAGCTAGGAGGAGAAAGTGACGAGAGAGAGGCAGAGACTGTGTAGATCTTCATGAAGCAAACTTCTAAGCATGCAACTTTGATACGGAGATGAGTTTTTAGTTGATAAATCAATAACTGCACATTTACTTAAAAAGCTATGCTCTCTGGATCCACTCTAAAATTATTTTAAGCTTTGACATCACTTAAACTGTCTCACATCAGGTGTCACACAGCAGCCCTTTTCAGACATGCTTCATAAATCTGTAAAAGTCCCAGCCTTCTATCATTTAGACACAGGTCACTTTGACGTTGATGCTTTATTCACACACATCCACCACATCGAGAGGGACACCCACGGTTTGTTATACACGCAAGACTGGACAGTACAAGTGACATAATGCATAATAATGCACTAATAAAAGACTAGATGTAAATCCGTCATTGAACAAATGATTTAACTGCAGCTAATAAACTGTGGCTGTGTGTCTGGCTGATAAGAGCAAAAGCACATTATAACTGCCCTTTAGATCCTGATCAATCCTATCCCCATGTCTGCTATAATGTTTTATTATTATCATTATTATTACTCTTCTGCTGTTCAATGTGCATAAATGCCCACAATTCTCTGGCTTTGGAGATGCTCCTAGAGGTCCTACAGACTGTCTTTTGTACTCTTTATGATGTTGCTGGACCAAGTTAATACTAGCATGTGGAAACAGCCTTGCCCAAATCAAGTTGCACAACTGGAAATGCGTTCCTTTTTTGTTGCTATCTGTTAATGCAGTTCAGACTTGTGCTGTGTTGAAAGTGACCCGGAAATGTTACTGTGTCCAACTCCCTAAGAATGCTGCCATGTATTTTACAGAAAAATGACCAGCGTGCCTCTGACATGAAGCAGACACATTTGGATGCTGCAAGATTAAGAGAAAGGAGAGCAAATCTAAAAGAGGCTAATGTACATTACCAGAGGGTTGTGACCCCAAACATTCCTCCACTTCGAGACTGGTTCTGTAAGGACCTGGAGCAAACAACAGAGGAGAGGAATACTGCATCAGTGAACACGTCCTGAATCATGACTAGGCAAGAACAACTTACTCTGCTGAAACCTGGATTCACAACTGAGTTTTCAGTGTGCGGTTGGTTTTTTAATTAGTCCTTGAATTTTTTATCTTTACTGATATTTAACAACCTACATTTTGAGGAAAGTTGTGAGACTCAAAGTATTTAGTCAAAGGAAAGAGGCACACAGGGTGTAAATGCTAAAATAGAAAAAAGATGTTTAAACTCAAAGGCCACAACTTTCACAATGTTACAAGTCAGTAGAACTACAATATACCCTGGTGGAAGTGTATGCACACACATCTGCACAATGGACAACACTGCTGAATACAGACTTTGCTTTGATTACCTCTATATTGCTTGTTTTGCTGAAATACTCCAGACATGTTGTTTTACCGCTGGCAATGTTCCCCTCAATACAGATCTGAAAACAGTGAAAGAGAGACAGTACAACAGGCCTGCTCACAGTAATGATGACGAGCAAGAAGCACATAAGGATAATCTCAAGTATGTCTGTATTTCAGCCTGTGAAGCATGAAGAATTAGATTTTATCATTATGGAAAACAAATCCCACTAGGACACTGAGTGAGCATTATGAATTTGATCATGTTCAAGTACACACAGCTGTGTAAAGAATGAATGCAAGGAAAACTAAATCTCAGAGGCTCACCACTGCTTTCTTATCCTCTCCATTTCGTGCCAGCTTCCCTGGGAAGGAAGACAGCATTATAAGACTTCACTTCCCAGAACTCCTACTGCTGGCCTCCTTCAGGTCAGAGCAAGGTCAGGAGGAGGGACAGATGCTACAACGGCCAACAGATGACGTAGAGCGTGTGAGTAGGTTAGGAGCTTATAGTTCTGGCTCTAGTTTAGGACGCTTGAATGGAAATGAAACTGACGTTAATATAATATACATATATACCTGCCATTTGAGAAACAAGGTAAAAATAGTTCATCTTTTCTCTTTCCTTTTCTTTCTTTCTCCACTCAGTATGGATACGAAGAGCGACTGTACTGAGTCACTGTTACATCTTATCCAATCTGCTGACTACATATGACAACACAATGACCAAGGGTACTGACAGACGGTAATGTAGACAGGAGTTAGTCAAAGCAATGAAGTGAAGTGTTAGTGTACAGGAATCCTAAGAGCTTAGTGCACTGCAGCTTGAGAAAACAGATGAAAATAGACAAAACACAAGCAAACTAAACAGGTTCTTCTCCAATTAGCCTGCACATGTAGCATTTAGACAGAGTCTGCAAGCTAAGGAAGCACTACCACATAAATAAACAACTGAATACAGAGGAGAAATCTAGATGGACTCAGTTAGGACACATTGTTCAATGCCACGGAGACTAGTGAAGATATGGATGTCAACTATCAAACAGTGCTGCTGAAAACAAGGTGAGCAGAACAAGCCATGGAGACTGCACAGAGTAACTTTATGTGTAGCAGTAACAGAGCTGACAAGGAGTTTTCCCATTTGTCTTCCTCAAAATAACACTCAAGACCTTCCTCCTATTTGTGTTTCACTTTTAAGACTTCCTAAACTTTAAGAAAAAGCAGTTAGGTATAATATAGAATCCCTTTCACCCCGTTTGTTGTGCACAGCGTTATCTAGAGGTAGCTCTTCTAATGCCCACCTCGATTGGAGATGACAAAGTGTCTCAATTCGAGATATTTGAAAAAGTGAAAATTTTGAAAAAAACAAAAACAAAAAACAAAAACATCTAAAGGATTCCAACAGATACCAAAATATCTGACATCTATTATGAATTCTGTGATCCTATCAAGTGCTTTAGGTAAAGAGACATTTATGTGAAAAGCAAATTAGTCATCGTAGTCTCTTATTTATATGTCAACCATCTGTTAATCTTCTGTTAACAATCAGTTGCATATTTGTCAAGTTGTTTTCAAAGAAACTCAATACTTGTGTTTCAGAGTTACAGTCTGAGTGCTGCCTAGAGAACTGTGAGATGCGTCTGTTTTGTACAAAAACAGTCAAATGTAGAGATCTCGGGTCCTGTCAGGTTTGGAGTTTCATTTTGAAGAGGCTCCCTGGTCCACTTATGGAGTATAACCGAGGCTGCAGGCCCTTCTAAAGAGAGGCCTGAGTCTTGTCTCAAGGAAGCTGTTCTGTCTAAAGAATGTGGGACTTGGAGTTTTACATGTTTGGAAAGTAATAACGGTGTAAAACACACTCCATGTGTGTTAATTAAAAAATAAAAATGTACAACATCAGTACAGTCTCTTCACATTCTGCTACATTGTGAATTGAATTATAAGTAAATTTAAACTGAACGTTATCATGGACACTGTTCTGCTCATCTGACAGAGATCAGAGAATACTGCGATATGTTTTTTTTTAAAAACAAGCAAACAAACAAACAAAAAAACCACAACACAATGGACAGGGGATCCAGCTGCGTCACGTCACATTTAACTGCCGTCGCTTTAAAACAACAGCTCCAAGGGGAGGATGTCTCATTTCTGCATCAACTCCTGTCTCCTGGCCCTCCCTGCTCGCCTCTGTTGTGGGAGGGACCAAGATGAGCGAGTCAGGACAGCCTTGCATCGTAGCCATCAGTTTCAAGTCAATAAAATACGAGTCACAGCTGGATCATCTGTCTATTGTTTTGTTATAACCTACTGATAGATTTTATCACCTCTGTCAGTATTCTTATAACTTATAGTTTGTATTTACTTATAACTGAATTAAGGACGCAGCACAATGGGAAGAGAATTAGGTTCATTTCACTAATTGCAGCCTCCTCATCTCCTCTGTGCTCCAGCCCGTCGCCCACAACACAATCTTGGTCCGCCATCACAAGCAACGTGTCAATTCCTAAAATGCACCTCGAGACTTGAAAATCAAGGAAGCTTGCTGGAGGAGGTATGAGCGAGGAGGCACGGGTGTGTCCTTGCTGTGTCCTTGATGAAGTCTCTGCTGCACCCTTCCACATAAAAGAGGTGACCCAGCTGGAATACACAAACTATGTCGGGACCAGGACTGACAAATGTGTGTTTATATGACATATAGCACCCAGTGGTTGATGTTCTTTCAATACCTGCTGCCTCGAGTCCTCTGTCCTCATCTCCCCCTCTCACGTCTCTGCTGAGAGGGACTAAAACACTGGAGGAGTTGAGGAAAAGAATCAAGGATGTTTTTTTATTAGTGAAATGGGATGAGGGCGTCCAGCTGCGTCGCCTTTAATGTGTCCCAGGGGCAGAAACGGCTTCATGAGGACACAGTGAGGATGCATCTGATCGTAATCGCTCAGCAGCCTCCTCCATCCTCGTTCATCTTTCCTTCATATGCGTTTTAGGAACTGAGACCACCTCTATGACGGTGCACTGGGACGGAGGTCCAGGACATGGGCAGGAAGACACAAGACACAAAACAATGAGTCTGAATTATAAATAAGCTCAGGTGTGTCCTTGAAGTCTTTTCATAAAAACATGAGGCATACAGCTAGAATACACCAACCAGCCAGCAGCAGGAGCCACAAATGTGGATTGTTAAAACTTAAAATATCACTCTTTCGTGTGCCACCACTCCTGTATTATTCACCGCACATGTGTAGAATAAAAAGTCAAAACGTTGAGCAAACTGGGCCATGCCTCCCTGTAATGCACTGCGTTGAGCCTGAGATAAACACGCAACAGGAAGTCAAGCCGCGGCGTCGATCAGAGAGCAGCTCGTCTGACCTGCTGCTGGGTCAGGTTAGAGTCAGAGTTAGAGTCAGGTTAGAGTCGGGCTGCTGGCTGACTAGGTGAGTCCAAATAAGCTTTTCAAATGCATCGGGAGTCGGGACAGATATAGCGGTAGGCAGCATCACTAGGCACCACCGACCTGAAGCAGCGCTGCTGGACGCGGAGCTCCGGACCGGTCTTCCGCTCACAGCCGCTGGCCGGCTCGGTGTCTGACATCCAGCAAGTATCGAAGTCACAGCGAGGCGAGCAGACAGGAACCTAAAGTACGTGCCACGACCAGCTGCTGCCCACATTTCACAGCCCAAACACTCATGTAGACCTGATTCTGTCACGTGGACAAAACAGGAAGTAGAGCGACGTCTTCCTCTGGTCCAAGTGGCGCAGCGGAGATGCGCAGCGACCCCTGCCGCCCTCCAGCGTACACAATGCTGCTCCTGTCCCCCAATAATGTCTCTGTACCCTTCTCCCTGTCCCGGACGCTGTCACTGCTCTGCTGGGAAACATGAACCACTCCTTTGTCAGTCCGCTGCTGTCTGCAGGGTGACTCCAGCCTGTCCTGCATGTCTGCTGCGGATAAACTTGTCCAGCTTCAGCCCAGTTGTCTGAACTGCTGCAAATAGTGCTTAGAGGACTTGCGGCTATTTTTTTTATTTCTCTTGTTTTACGTTTGGTGAAGAGCTCAGTGTGCTGTGCTCCATGTGGAGCTGTGTCCTGTCCTCAACAGCCCTGTACAGTTGTGACTAACGGCCACTAACAGGAACCAGCTCATGTTTCAGAGAATAAACTGAGTCCGAATGAGAGGATGATCTGGAGACTAAAGGGTTTCCATTTGCTCAGAATAGTCCTTAACACTCAATAGTTTTATTGTGGAATACTTTACTGTCCTGTTTAGTGTGAGGCGTGAATCCATTTCCGACCTTAAGGATTGTGTGGTAGCAGCGTAACCTGAGCATGCGCACTTCAGTCCAGAGGAGGGCGGTGCATGGTTGGACGCTGTCAAGAAGAAAACGCGAAGTGGAGGAAAGATCAGCAGGAAGTGAGCAGATGAGCACGGTGCAGGCAGGAATGGCAGCAGGCTCTGAGTCCAAGCTCCAGCTGGTTCACAAACACATCCGGGCCTTTCCAGACTTCCCGAAGAAAGGCGTCCTGTTCAGGTAAGACATGAGGTTTGGACCACAGCAGCAGCCCTCATTTCACAGTTGTTTTGTAACGCTGCCTGGTTAGCGAGGCAGCTGATCGACATGTGGACCTCCACCGGAAGGCAGGCTGGGACACCGGGCCGCCTGTTGCCCTGGAAACAGGCGGCGGGTTGGGGGAGTGGTGGCACCAGGAGCTTCATCAGGCTGAACGATGACAGGGTCACACTGGATGCCTCTAAACAGGCCCAAACACTGTACGATGTCTAAACAACCAGCATCTAGACAAGACTTTATCCTCTGGGAGTTTCGGGGGGCAGAGCCTATCAGCTGACTCAGGATGAAGGCAGGTTCAGCTGGACAGGTAACCAGTCTATCACAGGGCTACACAGAGAGACAGACAAACAACCACACTCACATTCACACCTACAGACAATTTAGAATCACCAGTTAACCTCAACATGTATTTGGACTGTGGAATGTTTAAACAATTTTAGTGAAAGTTAAGATAAGGTAAAACTTTGTTAGTCCCAAAGGAAATTATTTTACCAGTCATTGTTCAAAAAACAAACAAACTACATAACATGATAAATAATACTAGCAGTGATTCTGAGGTAGCAAAGTAATAAAACATGACGATGAAATGGCATTACACTGAAACTGAGAAAAGTCATACTGCAAAGGATTCTGATGGCATAGTTCAGATTTAAACGTCCCATGTTTCAGCTGTTTTTACTGCAAAGGGCAGGAATTAGGAGTTTAGGTCTCATGGCGTCCTCCGCTGCACCTCACTGTTCTCAGTCTTCAGCTGAAGCTGCTCTGATGAGACACCGATGTGGCTGCAGGGAGTGAGAGGCTGTTTCCTCAGCATTGTCTATGTGGACATCGAGGTACCTGTAGTCCTCAACAATGTCCACCTGTGTTCCCGCGATGGTGACTGGTGAGTGGACCTGTTCCTCCTGAAATCCACCACCAACTCCTTAGTTGTTGTGATGTTGACTTGTAGGTGGTGGAGTTCGCACCACTCCACCACAGTCCTGTACTCAGCCTCCTGCCCCTGCTGACACAGCCCCACTATGTCATCCTTCAACTTGTGCAGATGCCAGGACTAGGAGCAATATCTGAAGTGGTGGTGCTCTAATCACAAGGTTGGTGGTTCGATCCCCTCCACAGTTGACGTGTCCTTGGACAAGACACTAAACCTGAAGTTGCTCCCGATGGGAGGCAGCACCTTGCATGGCAGTTCAGTGACCACTGGTGTCTGAATGTGTGTGTGAATGGGTGAATGAGAAAACATTGTGAAGCGCTTTAGGTATCATGAAGGTAGAAGGATCCGTATTGAACAACCTGAAAGAAAACAATGAGGTTTAAAGCAGCGTTACTGTCAAGCTGACAGTGATAGGTAAAGTGAAACAAGGCCTTTCAGGTTCAGAGGACAGCACTTTCTTGTATAAAACTGAAACAAAAATTCTTTGACATCTGCTAAAACAACAATCGACAATTTGTGTATTTTAATGATAACAAATGTAAACGTATAAATAGGTAGGAGTTATTGTTATAAATGTATAAGCCCCCAGGAAATTATAAGCATGGAGCAAGATAAATGGGTAGACCACATTAAACAAGTTGTCAAGGCAAACAGCAGAGAGAATAGGGAAAAAGAGATAAATCCACCCATGAACAGTAAGAGGAGCTCTAAGAGCAAATGGCCCAAGGATATATTATTAAGAGAAAGCTCTTTAAAATATTTTGTAAGTTGTCTAACTAGAAATCAAACACTGGTAGTCTCACTTTTAATTCAAGAAAATATAATTGTTCTTACTCTACGATCCATTTCAGTCTAACAACTATATTGACTACTGCTTTATTGGATTAAGTATGGTGCATTTGAACTGGCTAAATTAATGGATGGTTTAGGTTATCTGAATAAATCGTGTGTATTGTTTGCATACATGCACGTTAAACTCAGTATCACACTTTACCAACAAAACGTCCCAGTCACCTAGAACAGTATATTTGATCAGAGGGTGAAAGATTGAATTTATGTAGCTATAACATGGCAAATAGAATTTCTAACTTTAATTGACTGTAGGCTTGTTGATGAGGACCTATTCAAATATAAAAGAAACCAACAACATTTGCTTCAGATGTACTGGCCAAACAGTTTGAAGAGAAATTTGCCAAAAATTCTCCCACTTTGCCTGAGTTACTGTTATGAACAGCATTTTTAATTAGCTCTGCAGTTTCTATACCATCAAACTGCACATATTTGCTATTGCCAAATAACAAACAGTTCGGTTGACTCAGTTACGTGTTTATTGTAGTACCTGTAAGTCAAGCTGTGGTTAGTCAGTTTGGGCCTTAGGTCAGAGAGCACATTAACCTCCCCTCTTCTCATTTTAACGGCTAAATATTCACCTGCACAGAGTAAGCAAATGATACCAGTGCTTTTGTTCAGGACCTTGTTCCTGTTATGGTGAAATCAGCTGCAAGCTCTGGTAAACAGCAGGTGCGACAGGAAGGAATATGGATGTGTGATAAATGGAAACACCTGAATGTTTCTGTCCTGCAGTGAGGGATGTGGTGGCTCTGTCATGCTGTGGGAGGGGCCATTTGTTGGTCCATTTGTCCCCTTACAGGGGAAGGGTCACTGGAAATCAGCATCACACTATTATGAGCGATCATCTGTAGTGTACAATGAAACATTCTGTCCTGATGGGAGTGGTCTCTTCTAGGATAGCGGCATCTCCATCCATAGGCCCTACTCTTACTTATTGATCCAGTATTTTAATGGAATGATTTTTGTTTCTGTTTGGAATTTTCTAAGAGAAAAAAAGGGGGAAAAAAGTTAACATTCTTTTAATTTGTCTGTTTAAAAAATATATTGTCTTTATATTTTCATTTTATTATTAAAAAATGAATGCAGGACATTTTATTGCCAGAGTTCTTACCCTGCAGCCCCCAAATGACCAAATGTGCCCTGCTTTGAGCTCTCGAACAGAATTTTTCAATAACAGTAATGTTCTGTTCATTTCAGTTTGAATAAGCACACTCATAGGTAAACAGCCAGCTGGCCAATGGTTGAATTTATTCTAGAACCCATGTTTGTATAAATTCAGTTTACTTTGTTTGAGGGCTCCAGGCTACTCGCATACACAACACACCTGAGGTAACAGCAAGTATTAGTGTGTTGAGTTGTTGAATAAAATGTGCAAGATAATGTTTATGCAACAGTACTAAAGTTGGAAATCTTTTTTCCTAATGCCTTCAGGACCAGTGGCTGAACTGATATCATAGGGGCATAGTGATCCTCTGGTATTTAATAATTTAGCCCCCCGGGCCCGTTTAATGCTGGGTTTTGGGGCCCAACATTAACCCTGAAATGGTTTGATAAGCATGAACGTAGGCTGTGGCCTTCACGCTTCTCAACCTATTTACACATCTGTGGGAGATTTGGACTAATCTGTTAGCGCAGTCTACGACTATTGGATATCACAATTGCAAACTGAATTGTTTGGAAATCAGACTTTTATATATTAGCGTTTATAAATGCAGCCACTGGAATTGTTCACTTTGGAGGCCGTATCAAACTGCCAGTCCTGAACATGTACCATTAGCACTTGTTAGCCTCCCATTAATGTTATAATGTACAGTGGTACCACTTTTATCTTATCCCAAGCCTCATTTACTGTGTTTTGCTCCTTAAAAATGAGCTTTCATATATAGTACCAATACATCTGTGGTATCTGTATATCTGCTGATGAAATCGGTGGGCTGATAAATTGGTCAGGTGTCAATCAAAACAATAAATAGAAGTATTTTGGAGGACTGGTGTTCCACCCCTTCAGTAGAATTCTAGAGACTTGTAGAATCAATCATTGCTCATCACATCTTTATGCTTCATGGTGGCAAACACATGCAGAAACCATCTGTTCATGATCTCTGTCTCTCACGTAGGGTTGTTAAGTTATTAGGGTCCGATCACTACAGTGCATAGGACCCTATTGTGACCCTTGTGATAATTTTTGTACCAACTTTTGAAATGCGATTTTGAGGGCCTAAATATGCACGAAAACTCACCAAAATCGCCACACACATCAGGACTGGCGACAATTTTGATATTTTAAGGGATATTTTATCAACATTACCTCAGTATAACACAACTAATGAGCTCAATAAAAGATCGAGAAATTCCACTAGTTAAGTTTTGATAAAACCATTTCAGGTAATGGCAAACATAATAATCATGAAGCTGGTTAACATACAACTAAATGGTATGGCATCAAAGCAAACAGTGGTGAGTTGAAGAAAAACTAATAAATGAACCATATTCTAGTTGGTTCAATGCATTTTTTTGTGTACTACATAATTCTGTCTGTATTGTTTAATAGTTTTGAAGTTTTTGGTATTGCTATACACTTTAGAAAATAGTATAATAACCCTTAATGAAATGCATTTTCTAAATTTCTGACTGGTACTGTATGTATTTCATAACATATTTTTAGCCACTACATACTTTAGTCTCCCCACCAGGTAAACTGCTTGAAGAATACATTAAATATACGACAGACATTTGTAAACAGCTCACCTCCCTTGGAAATGTACTCTTACAGTATAAATCATATATTGGTATCTGTTTTAAATGACTGGATAATATTAACGTAATGTGTGTGAATCCCACAGAGATATTTGTCCCATCCTGAAGGATGCAGCTGCTCTCACAGCAGTAATCGACTTGTTTGAGGAACATGTGAGGATCAGTCACCAGCAGGTTGATCTGATTGTAGGTAAGAAAACAAAGCAAATCCCTTTTAATGTAAACTGGTATACCTGATGAGCCTTAAAGGAACAGTCTAAGTGAAGTGATGTCAGTATCTTTAAAAAGTACTTATGGCACACCTTGTTACGGCATGCCGTCGATCAAAAATTCACTCAAAAACTGCTGCATCATTAGATGCAGCAAAAAAGCTAATGACCCTATCAAATGGCCCTGTGTGTTTCATACAGCAGGTTTGGTTTTGACTAGGGACAGACTGATTATTGACCTGACTGATTATCGTGGCTGATATCTGGCATATTTCCAATTATCGGTATCTGTGTTTTTATTGGCCGATTATCAATAAATTAAATGCACTACTTCAGGCCTGATGCAGCCTCCTCTCTCTGTCTGTCGTCACTCTGTGGACTCAGAAATGTCTCTCAAGGAGAGACTGCAAAAACTGAACAATTAACACAAGGAAATTAGCTTCTCTCACAGTGGCTAAGGCTATGCTAACGGCTAGCCTGATGGATGAGTGTACTTTCAGCTTGTGTTATTTGTCCCACAGGTTAGCACCGTCACCTCACAGCTAGAAGACCCCTGGTTTGATTGGGCCTGGGGTCTTTCTGTGTGGAGTTTGCATGTTCTCTCCAGGTTCTCCAGCTTCCTCCCACAGTCCTTAAACATGTTTAGGTTAATTGGTGATTCTAAATTGTCCGTAGGTGTGCTTGTCTGTCTCTCTGTGTAGCTCTGTGATAGACTGGTTACCTCCGATTTTGGTTCCTTCCTACGGTGCCAACCGTTTGCTCGGATGGAGTCTGAAGGCTACTTTGGAGTGTTGGGTTCTCTGTTTAAATTTGTACGGTCTTCACCTTACTATGTTAAGTGCTGTGTGATGACAAACATTGTGAATTGCGGTATATAAATAAAATTGAATTGAATTGAACTGACCTGTCCAGGGTGTCCCCTGCCTTCACCCTGAGTCAGCTGGGATAGGCTCCAGCCCCCCATGACCCTAGTGAGGATTAAGATATATAGATAATGGATGGATGGATGATCAGATACTGAATGGCCCCATTTTTGTGAGCTTATACTGGTAACTCTCAGCAAACCTGCATCATCTCTGCCAGCTGTCTAACATGTAGTTGTGTATTTTAGTGAGATATCTAGCCATAAAATGAACTAGACTCAGACCATAACACCCCTCTGTGCCCGTACACTCAAGAAGAGTGATTACCAGACAAGTCTTACATCTAAATATGATAAAGGCCTGGTCGCCATGGAAACATGGTCTGGGACTTTCTATACAGGGTTCAACATTATCCCTTCAGTTGTTCTGTCTGTACATCCCTCTCCTTCTCTCTTGATTGTTGGTCTTGTTAGTGCACACATGCACACTTAATTAGAAAAGAAGGACTCATTAGCCCTCTTGGACTAGAACACTAAACCACTGCTCAACAGAGAAATTACAATAATGCTTTAGAGTTTAGAGAATCTTTGATAAAGGCCTGGTCTTCCAGTGTGAGAGCATTATTTATTTATTTTTTCCCGATTTTGTAAAGCTTTAAACGCAAGCTACACCATATATCTTCAGTCTAAAATGTTTTACAGACTGACCTTGATTAAATGTAACTATAAAACAAAAAACTGTAAGATTACACAGGTCAAGAGTCCCCTTTAACGTGACACGTTTATATGTTGAATGTCTGAAATGGAGATCATATATGTGGAATCAATATGTGACAACTTTTTCTTGTACTATAAGCAATAAACTCACCTCAGTCAGGTCAGTAGTAAAAACTGAGGTACAATGGAACAGTTTGTTGCAGAACGATCTTATTGTACCAGTAATGGGAAATACCAAATTTTGAAGAGGGACCAGCTTCCTGATTTTTGCAATTACTGTCTAAATTAAGAATGTACCTGTACCTTCATTATTCAGACTTGTCCTGCCCTAATGTATCTTTCTCATGTGCACTGCTGTGACTGTCTCATTTCTGTTGTTTGTGTATGTGCAGGCTTAGATGCTCGAGGCTTTCTGTTTGGGCCTTTGCTTGCCCAGAGACTGGGTGTTGGCTTTGTCTTGATCAGAAAGAAAGGTAAACTGCCTGGAGCCACAGTGTCTGTGTCTTACGATTTGGAGTATGGCAAGGTAAAGCACCAACACTCATTCTGTTTATAATCCCTTACTATCTAGAGAGTCACTGATTTTTTTTTTTTTGCATACACTGTCCCTAAAGCTCCTGTAATCGTGACATTGATCTTTGTTAAATTTTGCTGAGATATTATACAGTACAGTGTTACTGGGCCTGTGGGCAGGAATTTGTGGTTGCACCACAATTGTGTTTGTTTGACAAAATGCCACTTTATTTCATGATGCCTACCGCTGCCCCTTGAAAGACAAAGGCACAAAATGAGCTATTACAGCAGAACCTGAGTCAGTTTCTATTTTAATGGAATAGTTGGCCACATCAGGCCACATGTTTTTTGTTTTTTTTTACAGAGAACTTAACTGTCTCCTTATTGTTAGTTCAGTCATGAACAGTTTGACTCAACGGTGCAAGAACCAATCAGCCTTCAGTCACAGTTTTTTCTAAGAACCCTACTTGTGGTTCTCCAGGCAGAAGCAGAAGTCCAGGAAGATGCAGTGGCTGCAGGACAGAAGGTTCTGATCATTGATGACCTTCTGGCTACTGGAGGTAAGGACTTTGCCCTGCTTCTGTTTGTAACCACTAGTGTGACTAGTCTCACTGTTCACAAACAGGCAAAACATGTCACGTTAAATATTTTCTTGACTCATACTTTATTCTTCTGCTTTTACTACTAAATTTGAGAATTCTTCTTACATTGTGGACGGTCATCAAGAAGCCGTTTATTGTTGCGTTTATTGTAAAATCTTTACGGAAGTTAATTCTCTGAGTTAAACTCAGTAGATCCCTTTATGTGTGGTCATTTTTATTTTAAATAAGAGTATTTGATTTAAGGGACACTTGATCGTTTTGGTTGTTTATTTTTTTTTAAATCACACTCCTGATAACTGTTCAGCTTCTTCAGTGATTAGATTAGTTACACTAATCACACTTATTGTCTTGTTTATCTTTGTTGTTTTATTTTCCGTCTGATGTTTAGTGAATGTGTGTCTTTTGGTGCTAATATCTGTAACGGCTGATTTTATATTCATATTTCAATCATTTTTAAATGAATGCAATCCTATGTGCGTACAGACTAAACTCTTTTTGAACCTACTCAATAGTCCTTGGTGATAAAATGAATATATAGACTCTACATCAATAGCAATAAGAAAACTGATAGTGTTTGATAGTTTCACTTAAATTCATTAAATGCAAACCGACATGAAAACACGTTTGGTTGCCTGAACAAATCCCAAGCATGCTCCCTCCCTGGTTCACAACAGTTGCTCTCTGCGTGTCATCAGTCCAGTTCACCCGTCTGCACCCTGCAGACTTCTCCTGCTGCAGGCTGTGGTGGCCCTTGCGAGATGGACTTAATGGTCAAAAAACACACAAGTGTACAGACTGAGGCCATGAATAAGAACGCAATATTTTATGCAGTTAATACTATAATTAAAAGAGAAAGTTATGCTGATGCTTATACAAAAGACCAAAAATATGACTAGAAAAAAAAGGAGTGATTTGTTTTATTAAGGGGTGCATAAAAACACGCAGACGTTAAGTTCAGTGTTATGCCTTCAGCATCCACAATGACACACTGGTGCACATTATGTAGAAGTTGTCAGATGAGCCAGAAAGAAAAAAAAAATTAATATCTTGTAAACCTGTAAGGTGGGTCAGTGGTTAGCAACGTTGCCTCGCAGCAAGAAGGTCGCCAGTTCGTGTCCCGGTGGGGACCCCTGGGATCTTTCTGTGTGGAGTTTGCATGTTCTCCCCGTGCAGCGTGGGTTCTCTGCGGGTTCTCCAGCTTCCTACCACAGTCCAAAAACATGTTGAGGTTAATTGGTGATTCTAAATTGTCCGTAGGTGTGAATGTGAGTATGCTTGGTGGTCTTTCTGTGTAGCCCTGCAATAGACTGGCGACCTGTCCAGGGTGTCCTCTGCCTTCACCCTGAGTTGGCTGGGATAGGCTCCAGTCCCCCCGCCACCCTAGTGAGGATTAAGCGGTGTATAGATAATGGATGGATGGATATCTTGTAAACTGTAATGCACAGTATGGAAATTCTACTATTTAGAATCAGTGGATTTGCTTTAGGAATTTTAACCCTTTAAACACCAGTTTGTTTACACAATTCCACGATTGTTTTTAATGAAAAGACATTAAAAATGAAGTGCTTTGAATATATTTTTTGTGTTAAATCACAGTCTGGGATTTGTAGTTGATTAGCAACAACATTAATTTTAATGCATTATTATTTAAGGAGCACACGATAAAAAATGTCACGTGACAACTTATGGTCCATGGAAAATGTCCCTTGTTGTTTATTATTCTGATCAAAGGTTGTACCTTCTGATTGGCCTAATACCTTTTATGACCCCATCTGTTAATGAATACACCTTAATATCACCAGTATCTGTGTGTGTTGCAGGAACATTGTATGCAGCCTGTGAGCTGATGAGGAAGCAGCAGGCTGAGGTTCTGGGATGCATGGTGGTCATCGAGCTCAGAGAGCTGAACGGCATTGACAAAGTGAAACCACACAGTGTGTTCTCCCTGGTCCAGTACTGAGGACTGCTGCTTTATTGTATTTTTCTCTTCATCTGTACAGAATTTTTCAGTAAGAAGGTGTCGTATCTATTTAACCTTGAGAACAGGAATGTCCTTCTGTGACTTGAAGGCTTGAAGGCCATGCAGCGCTAACAGTGTGATGGAAAAGTGAACTAGCTGTTATACTGACTGACAGAAATTAATTGTTTACTGCCAAATGAATGCTAAGTAAAGGCAATGGAAATAATGACTAAAGCTCAGGATGTTAATGTGGAGACTGAAGTGGTAATTCAACTGGATTGTTCCATTTAAAGCTGTACCGCTGTGACCATATGAGCACGACTGTCTTAAATGTAATGCAGGATTTGTGTTTTACCTTCAAACAAGACTATAAATCTATGCATAAAAGTATGTTGTCAGACTGTTATTATAAAGGGAATATGCCGTCTATATTTATACATTAAAACTGAACTACCACACAATACAGTATTTTTAAATGGAAATATTCTCCCACTCATGTGAAAAAAAGAAAATGTAAGAAAAGAAACACTGAGTTTTTGCTGATATTCTCGTATGTGATTTGCGGCTAATCGTAACATTAGCAAACTTGTTGGACACTGTGTAAGGGATGCTACGACTCTTCTTTACTTGTCCTCCATGTTATGTCACATTTTAACACTGACCATCATATCCCCTTATGTGTAGGTGTTGTGATCACTACTTAAATTTTACATTACAATGACTATATTCCAAATATTAGGTTATTTTGATGTACTCTGACATTTAAGTATTTTATAAATTATCATTAAGCTAATAATAAGAACTGCTATGCAAATGTGTTCTGTCTTTCAGCTCTTAAATTCAATAAACTTTGTATGATTTAAACCTCAAAATGTAGGAAAACAAACTTTCTCCAGATCCACTACTACTTCACCACTCATGACACCTCTTCTCCTTTCTCTTGTTAAGTTATTACTGTCAAGATTGACCATTAGTTTTAGTTAATGCAGTCATTACTTTTGTCGTATGCAGGGATTACAAACATATGGTGAAAAAGATACCTGAAGTTGGAATATCAAATGTGACAGCGCAATGTAACCATCTAACCAAGGTTTGTGCTAGTATACAGTTAAATAAGTAGTAAATTCTATTACTCAGATAGTCAGATCTTTTATTACAGACAGCAAGACAAATGTTAAGTTGCAAATGTTTATTTTTTATTCAGTACAGACCAAAAGTTTGGACACACCTTCTCATTCAAATAGTTTTCTTTATTTTCATAACTATGAATATTGTAGATTCACACTGAAGGCATCAAAACTATGAATTAACACAATGTGGAAATATGTACTTAACAAAAAAAGTGTAAAACAACTGAAAATATGTCTTATATTCTAGTTTCTTCAAAGTAGCCACCTTTTACTGTGATTACTGCTTTGCACACACTCTGCATTCTCTTGATGAGCTTCAAGAGGTCGGCACCTGAAATGGTCTTCACTTCACAGGTGTGCCCTGTCAGGTTTAATAAGTGGAATTTCTTGCCTTATAAATGGGGTTGGGACCCTCAGTTGTGTTGTGCAGAAGTCAGGTGGATACACAGCTGATAGTCCTACTGTATAGACTGTTAGAATTTGTATTATGGCAAGAAAAAAACAGCTAAGTAAAGAGAAACGAGTGGCCATCATTACTTTAAGAAATGAAGGTCAGTCAGTCCGAAAAATTGGGAAAAATTTGCAAGTGTCCCCAAGTGCAGTCGCAAAAACCATCAAGCGCTATAAAGAAATTGGCTCACATGAGGACCGCCCCAGGAAGGGAAGACCAAGAGTCACCTCTGCTGCGGAGGATAAGTTGATCCGAGTCAGCAGCCTCAGAAATCGCAGGTCAACAGCAGCTCAGATTAGAGGTCATGTCAATGCCACACAGAGTTCTAGCAGCAGACACATCTCTAGAACAACTGTTCAGAGGAGACTGTGTGAATCAGGCCTTCATGGTAGAACAGGTGCTAGGAAAGTACTGCTAAGGACAGGCAACAAGCAGAAGAGACTTGTTTGGGCTAAAGAACACAAGGAATGGACATTAGACCAGCGGAAATCTATGCTTTGGTCTGATGAGTCCAAATTTGAGATCTTTGCTTCCAACCACCGTGTCTTTGTGTGACGCAGAAAAGGTTAACGGATGGACTCTACATGCTTGGTTCCCACTGTGAAGCATGGAGGAGGAGGTGTGATGGTGTGGGGGTGCTTTGCTGGTAACACTGTTGGGGATTTATTCAAAATTGAAGGCATACTGAACCAGCATGGCTACCACAGCATCCTGCAGCGGCATGCTATTCCATCTGGTTTGTGTTTAGTTGGACCATCATTTATTTTTCAACAGGACAATGACCCCAAACACACCTCCAGGCTGTGAAAGGGCTATTTGACCAAGAAGGAGAGTGATGGGGTGCTGCGCCAGATGACCTGGCCTCCACAGTCACCGGACCTGAACCTAATTGAGATGGTTTGTGGAGCCGCAGAGTGAAGGCAAAAGGGCCAACAAGTGCTCAGCATCTCTGGGAACTCCTTCAAGACTGTTGGAAGACCATTTCAGGTGAATACCTCTTGAAACTCATCAAGAGAATGCCAAGAGTGTGCGAAGCAGTAATCAAAGCAAAAGGTGGCAACTTTGAAGAACCGAGAATATAAGACATATTTTCAGTTGTTTCACACTTTTTTGTTAAGTATATAATTCTACGTGTTGATTCATAGTTTTGATGCCTTCAGTGTGAATCTACAATTTTCATAGTCATGAAAATAAAGAAAACTCTTTAAATGAGAAGGTGTGTCCAAACTTTTGGTCTGTACTGTACTTACAGATTTTAACAACTGAGTTGCTGAGGAGTTCAACTGTACATGGAGTTCAATGATGTTCTTAATGTTAAACAATGTCAAGAAGCTCCTCCCATATTGCACAAAACCATTATTGTAACACACAGATACATCTGCACTGATTTCTTTGAAGACAGAGTGCATCTAGCACATCCTTTCTGTTGGACTTTTTTTTCCAAGTCAGAGAGCAGGAACATGCTGTACCTATTTGATCCTAATAGTGACATCTAGCTTGAGCTACGACTGCCTCCAACTACACTTGCTGATTACATCCAGCTGCTGCACAAGTGCATCTTTTTCATCACGATCAGTTTGCAAACCAATGCATACTTAATACTGCTACCAAAACGGCAGGATGACGGAGTTCATTTATCTAATGGGATAAAACTGGTCTGTAATGCTTCACGCCAACACTTCTTGTCGTATACAATGTGCAGTGTTTGGCCTTCAGATGAGCAGAGAGCTGCAGGGATGAGCCCATTCAAAGACAGTGTAACGTTAGTCAGTACGATGCAGTGTCATATCCATTCACATGAAGTAAACGTTAAATCCTCTTCAAACGTTGTTGCATACAGCCAGTTAATGAATGAGATCTGTTCATTTATTTTAGCAGTGAAGAAGCTGTTGTGACATGGACTACAGTTCCATTCATCATAAATGTTAAAAGCATGAAACAGCAACTTTCTTCACCTCAGTGATCTCACCTCCACATGAACGTGAAGGAGAGAGTTTGAGCCACTCGCGAGGCTACGGTCAAAGTGTTGCAGTGATGTGACCAACACACAACAGGCGCTGACAGCTGAGCAGTGTTCTCTTACAGACTCACTGACTTCTATCAGCGCAGCAGAAAAAATATTTCATGACACGTGTAGCACCGACTTTTGACAGAATCTTGACTTTAGGAACACGAACACATACAAACGCGAACACACGCACACGTTTTCAACCTATAAAATATAGGTTGTTTATTTAATGAACTGCATTCACAGAACAGAAAATTGGTGCAGATAAATACCTGTACAGTGACCTTTAAAATGTAAACACTCATCAGATGTACATTGTAGAAAAGTGATCCCTAAAGACCAGCAGTGAGACCAATATTACACCTTTATGGAGGGTTTAACAATAATAAAAAAAAAAAGCACATCAACAGTGAAAAATTAAAACAACCTGCTAACACAGAAGGCAGAATACTTGAACTATCATCATGAGAGGGGATTGCCACAAAACCCTGTAAACAAAGTAGTGAAATTTTTAAATAAGTGGCACTCTAACAGCTTGCCTACAACCACGGTTCATACAGCAGGAACCTGAGCTCGCTGTGTGGTTCACAGTGAAAGGATTCCTCAGTCATTCTGTCTTTAAAATCTAAATGAAAGTCTCTCAGAGTCTCTCTTCCTCTCTGAGTCTGTTGCTCAGTTTGTCCAGAACAATGCTAAGCTCCATGTTCTTGTTCAACTTCAAGTAGAAGTCCTTCCGCACTGGATGAACAGTCAGCCAGTCAGCAGCCACTTCTGCCAGCAGACGGATGTGTTTCTCCATTTCACCTGTATGTTAAAGAGGATCAATTGCTGATTAGCTACACTGTGAACAAAACACTACAAATAGTACATGAAAACTCTGTTAACCTCCACTGTTTCTACTTGCCCAAACAGATATGCAGTAGTTACAAATAATACAAAGAGATTTAAGGTTGATTATCAGTGACGCCCACGAAGCACAAAATTCCCACCTGACTCCACATTTAGTTTTGGTTTTGTGTTTGCACCAACCTGTGCTGAGTGTCGACCTGTAGCTTGCTACCATCCTGTTACAAGCCACTTCCATTATTAAAGCAGTTTTTTTCTCTGCAACAAACACATTGCGGAGAATTCTTGCTAGCTCCCCAAGCCGTGACATCATCAGCAGGCGCTCCTCTTGGGTGGGGTTTCGGGTCATGGCTGCATGGAGCTTCTGGGCCTCTTTTGCCCGGATCTTAAAAACAAACAAACAAATCACCCAGCAATATGATAAATCACAATATGGTTTATGCATCATTTTCTTATGGCTAAGTCCACACGGCCTCTGGTGCACCTACCCTGTCCAGCAGGGACTGGGACACCCCCTTCAGGGCAACTGGGACCTGAGCTGCAGGGGCAGTTGATGGAGTCGATATCTGGGGGGCTGCTGGTTTCTGTTGAAACGCTGGCTCATTACTTTCTGTAGCTTTGTCTTCTGTCTTTGCAGCCAGCGAGACCAGAGCCTTCTCCATCTGAAGAGAAGAAAAGAGATATTTTATTTGATGAAGAACAGTGATGTGTTTATATCAGATTAGTGTGCTGCATAAATAGTGTTTAGAAATTAGACAACTGGCTCAAACAAATTAAAATAAAAAAAAGTTAACAGGCAAGTACCTGACAATTAGAAAAGGTTGGCATTGCAAAATTAGGCAGCAGTTTTAACTTTATTATGAATGGATTATGGGCTGCAAGGTGGCGCGGTGGTTAGCACCGTTGCCTGGCAACAAGAAGGTCCCTGGTTCGCGTCCCAGTAAGGAAACCCGGGATCTTTCTGCGTGGAGTTTGCTTGTTCTCCCAGTGCAGCGTGGGTTCTCTCCGGGTTCTCCGGCTTCCTCCCACACAGTCCAAAAACATGTTGAGGTTAATTGGTGATTCTAAATTGTCTGTAGGTGTGAATGTGAGTGTGCTTGGTTGTCTGTCTCTAAGTGTGGCCCTGTGATAGACTGGTGACCTGTCCAGGGTGTCCCCTGCCTTCACCGAATCAGCTGGGATAGACTCCAGCCCCTTGTGACCCTAGTGGGGATTAAGGGGTGGATGGATGGATGGATGATGCAGAATTTTTTTTGTTTAGTACAATAAAAACCTGATGCTTATATATTAGAAGAAATCTGACAACAATTTCAGAAATAGCCAGAAGCCAGAAGTAACCACTTTTTTTTACATGACCTTGGGGGTGATAAGAGAGCGGGCCTTGTCCAGAACCTCCTGAGCTGTGACCAGTCTGTCAGCATGGGGAACCTGAGGCAGCGGGCTTGTCTGGACAGCTGGCACAGTGTCCACGTTAAAGCGAGGGTGCCAGCGAGTCAATCTGTCTTCTGGAATTGATACTGGAAGAACCAGTGAGGACAGGAAGGCCTGCAAACAGATGGGTGGTTTAAAACTAATTTGTTTCAGTGGAGACAGACATCTCAGTTTACACTACATAGGTATTTTAACTTCAAAATTTGACAGTGTGCTGTTTTTGAAACTGCCCCCAAATTACTGCTATGTTGTGACTACTGTTAAGGTACTTATTATTGTAGTATAAACACTGGAGGAGCTGCTGACTTTGTGGTGTTGTTTGACGATGGAAATCAGGTTCAGATGGAAGATCTTTCTTCTCTCCAGGAGACGAGAGGCTGAGAGTACATGTCGGGCTTCATTCTGGCCTGAAAAGTCATCGACAACATCAGGGGACATGTAGTCAGGCTCACAGTTTACAAATATTCCATTCAGAAAAAAAGTTGTAATAAAAGGTGAACTGATGCCAAATGTAACTTGTATTAAAATCAGGTAAACTGTAGTATTTTGAACAGAAGAAATTGCCTCATAAAAAAAAGAGAAGTGTCTTCTAACCAGAGAGAATGACTGGCTCCACAACGAGCTGGTAACTGCCTTTCTTTATGCTGTTGTTGAAGGGTGCGTTGTTCTTCTCCTGTCTGAATGTATATGCCTCAGGGAACACAGTCTTTATCTGGCCCACATGGCTCTCCTCAAACCGCCTGAAAAGAGGACACAGAAAACAGGCAGTTATTAGCTTCCGCAGCCAGCCAGTCCCAACCTATAGATTTCTGGAAAAAAGCTAATTGTGTCTTACAAGAGATGACAAATGAGGTACTAAAGGGTGCAACATTAGCAGCAGTTAGCAACAGTGTACACCGATCACCACAACATAAAAACCACTGACAGGCCATGTGTGCAACAGTGATCATCTTGCTAAAATACCATATTCGGCTGGGAAACATTGAGTCCTGGCATTAATGTGGCTTTAAGACGTACCAGTCACTAGTGTTGTGGTGCTCGTGGTTGGTCTTGGTCTCAGTATCAATCTCAGACAAAGAGGGTGCAACATTGCCAGTACCTTGTCTGGTTCATTTGTTAACATTCTTGTGATGGGATGTAAAACAGTCTGCTTCAACCAATAACTCGACTCATTTCTAATTTAGAGTTTTTTTGTGATGATTGGTCACTTCCTGCCCCTCTTCACATACATTCCAAGAAAGTGAATGTGGCAGGAAGGAGAAGCTATGACAAGTCCACATGTTCCGTAATAAAAGAAAACACGCAGCTGTATGCACAGTTTGCAGTACAACACTTACAAAGGCAGCTGAGACCATGTCAAACTTGTTTTGGCACTTAGAGAGGAAGAATTAACACAGGTTAGCTAGGTCAAAGTGAAGCAAATGTAGCTAGCTCACATTAGCAACCTGCCTCTGCACCAAAATTCTTCAGAAATGTATTTACCCAAAGAGATTCAGAAATTATTAGCTATACATATTAGCCACATTTGTGTATACTGGGTGTTTCAAGGCACTAGTTTTTGTAGTTGATGAAGAAGGTCATTTTCTTTTGTTTTGATGGTCAAAGACCCCTGAATTCATTCCCTGTTGCTATGTGTTTTCCCATCACAATAAAAGAAAATGGCTTTCTTCTTCAATCCACACTTTTTTTTTTTTTCGTTGAAAAGCTATGAATATCCCCAGAATTGGTCAATGTTTTGTGTCTTATGGTGTGACATTATTTGCATGAAAAATAAATATTTCTCACAAATTGTACTTAATGATTATTAAAGCTCAATGCTCACTTGTTGCCCGATTCCACCCCCTGTTGTTCATTGTCCCCTTGCCTCCTGCCATTTGATTAGCAAATGTATGCTATCAGAACCCCGACTCCACCACCCGTCTGGTCACCAGACTCCCATTTCATCACCTGTGATTCATTGTCCCCCCCTTACCTCCGGTCATTTGATTAGCAACTGTATGTTAATTTACCTCTATTCACCTCTGTATTTACATACAGCGATTGGGAGTACAATCAGGACTCGAGAGTAAGCCCATTTCAGCGATCAAAGCCTGCATTATGTTTAGTTTTGAAAGTAGACATTATTCTCCAACAGGATTATACGATTTGTTTTTCATTCAAGCTTCCTTTGTCTCATGTCAACTCCTAATTGGAAAAAAAAAGAAAAAGAACATCTCCCACCACCTACTTATGCATCATGTCCTGAACTCCCCGTTTGATCTTGGAGAAACTGGCCGTTTCACGGCGGTTGTAGAGCATGGAAACCACTGTGTCCATACTCCGGAACATCTCAGCCAGCACCCTGTAATGGTAAGGTAGTGAGAGCCCTGGGAGGGCATCCTGGGCTAGGGTGTTGTACCGCTGGTATGCTGGCTGCTCAGTGCTGGACAACAGAGAGGAAAATAATAACTGGTTAAAATAAACACAGCCTCATGTGAGGAAAACTGGACACAAAGTTTTTGGTTCTATGAACATGTGTCTGTGCTCACCTGTCCTGTGTTTGTGTCTCAGTGCATTTGCTCTCCTGAGTCTCCCTCTCTTGCCGCCTCCTCTGAGCTTTGGCTGCAAGCTCTTTGGCATGTGCTACAGTGCACTTGAGAAGCTCGGCATCAGAGGTGGGGGGAGTGATGGCTTTGTGAATAGGGGGGGCAGTATCATTAGGTGCTAAACAAGCTGAAGAGAAAGAGGAGGATGTGGAAGCTAAGGCCGAGGAAGCAGCACTGGTGATTTCCTTTGCATCTTTCTTGATCCTCTGGAGACGAGACTTGATAGCAGCAATATCCTCTTTACACAGTGCCTGTTAACGTCAAATAGGTCATCAAAAGGTTGATGTCTCACAGAGTTACATCAAGATAAGCTCAAAATGACACGAATGATAGCTTGTATTTTGTATCTGCATAGCGCTACGTTGCTAATTTTCTGTAGAACTGCACACCCTGCTCTGCAGTGTTACCTTGTTGGTCTGTCTTCTAGGGTTCTCATCTTGACTCCTCTGTGGAGAGCTATTTGGTTGTAGCTTAGCTTGGTTCCCAGCAGTCTGTCCACGTATGGGGATGGCTGGAGCCAAGGGCTGCTGGGTCACCTCGCAGGGAATGGGCTGGAGGGCAGCCTGGGGATGCACAACAGGATAAATTAATTTCAAACTTTACTGTCGTAAGTTTTTCACATTCACAAAGTGACCCTTCCTTTGCCTGCTGACAACCCAAACCTATGCTCTATTCTTGCCATTTTGCTAGGGTCAAAAAGAGCAGACAAACATTTAAAAATAAAGTCTGGTTGAAGCACATGTGCACTTTGTGCCCTTCTGGAATGCTCAGTCGTGTTACCGCCAGTTAATTAACATTCACACACAGCAGAGAAAGAAAAAAAACTACTGTAAACTCTGTGACTGGAATTTGTAGGCTTACTATACAAGAGCTAAGAGAGTCAAGTGGCTAAAGCTTTGATTATACTCTCTTGAGGAACGGTACATTGACAGGGGCAGACACATTGGGCATAAGTGTTGCGAATTAGCATATGTGCTAAAACACTCAAACAATGCATCTGGTTTGTCCAATGTAATTGTGATGTCCACATCAGTTAAACACTAAATAAAACTAATAATTGTTGTTTAATGGGTGCAGGAGTAAATACAATCACCAATATCTCAAAACTTGTAAGACCATGTTAGTCTGTTTGACAGAAATTTTGTTAACTTCTCAAGTCCAAAATCCAGCCCAAAATTTGTATCTGCACAGTGATTACGCTACAAATACATATTTATTACGACTGTCAAGAATGCACTCAATATGCAGCTACTGCGCTCCTATGCATTAACAACAGAGTCCAACTCAAGGGACAGCACAGAGGAGAAACTTGGCAGACAGCTGGCCCATGGTGACGGTCACAAAGGGCCATCATGTGGCCAGTTAGAAAACTGCAATCCTGTAAACATTTTGGGACACCGTTCTCCTCATACCTGCATGAGGATGCAAACACGCACAGCTTCAGCAGTTGCACGGAAGCTGCAGGAGCAGAGAACATGCTGCAGCTTTTAGCAAGCTGTAAGTATTTGAAGCTAGGCAGAATATCTATCTGTAGCACCAAACTCTATAGTATGCCAGAAAAAGATTTAGTATGGTCCAATACATAGCATATCAAATGTAGTTTGCCAGAATACCAGGATTGTCATTCAGTCATGTTTTGTAGTGTCTGTAGCAAACATGCTCTTCTGGTCAGTCCAAGCCCCAGTCCTCAGGGCAGCAGATAAGACTTCTCAAAGCTGCATGAGTAGAAACGAGTGAGCCTCCCAGAGTGCACTAAATGATAACAACTCATTTCACACTGTAGGCTGCATAAGACACATGAGCAAGATGGTCAAAGCTAAAGCTGCAAAATTATGAAAATGTTGTGTTCCCATTGTATGCAAACTGCATGCAACAGTACACACTTGGCACGGGCAGCTGTAATACATATTAAAATAAAGAAAAAAGTATGAAACACAGCCTACATTGCACGGTAACCCTGGAAGTCTCACTGGCCGACCTTTGGCCAGATGAAACATTAGCTGACTGTGTGCCCACATGTCAAAGTGGTAACAGGAGCTGATTTTCAGGTTTGATGTTTCCAGCTGTTTGTAGGAGTCTTTACTGTGAGTTTATTAAATACCTGCTGGACTCGGCCCGGTGCTCCGGTCTGCAGGCAGCAGTGGACGGAGCACCGAGCTGAGTCGGGGAGTCGGTCAGATGCTGACTCACCTGAGCAGTTTTAGCTCATCATTACCTGGGCTGTCTCTTTCGGGAGGACGAGTTTCTTTCTTGCAGACTTTCTTCGAACTTTCTCGCACACGCTGGCTGCGGTCCGTCCAGCAGCCTCCGTCGGTCGTCTCTTCTTGGCCGTGCTGTGCTCGCTACTGGCCGCCTCCACGGCACACTGCGCGTCCGCCGACGTCCGCTTCGGTGTCCGAGGACTGGAGGGTTTTGTGGTGTTGCTAACAGCAGGCTGGCCGTCGGTGAGCCCCACCACCTCGTCGATAACTCGGACAAACTCTTCACGGACAGAGGACGGACAACGAGAAGCGTGTCTGTTTGCGGCGGGGCCCGGGGCCTTGGCCGGACCTCTAGAGCCTTTCTTGCTGTGGGTAAAGAAATCCGTAACTCGAGCCTGAGACATGTCGCTCCGGGAACAAAAGCCGCAAAGTAAGAAAATGGCCGGTTGTTCTCTGAGACGAGCTCGATAAAGATCAACAAACACAGGAAATGTTCCGTCCTCACAGGAAGAAGAATCTTCGCGCCAAATCAAAAAACCACGCCTCTTCCGGTGTGTCCACCAGTAGGGAGGGGCGCTGACGTCAGGGCCACGCTGCCTGTGAGCACGACAGACAGCAGGAGGGAAGAGAGGGAAGCACAGGAAGCTGGTTTAGTGTCTGGGGGCAAAGGTTGTGATTAAAACGGGACAAACTCGGAAAATGTGTCCTTATTTAATGTCATTTCATTTTTTAAGAGTGCTTCATTGTCTGCCAGTCCGCTCTTCCGGGCTCCAGTCCGGTAGGTGGCGGTATTTCCTCAGTAGGCCGGTACCGAACCACGAATCAAATCAGAAGAAGATCAGAGGCACAGTTACAAGAGTTTCACTTATTAAAATATTCCTGGTTGTTTCCGCAAATAAACACACATGTGACTGCTGTGTTCGTGTTTGTGTGGTGGAGCTGGCTCGTCCTTCTCGTCCTGTCCCGGTCTTGGTGGCCTGATGAGAGAAGCACCAGGCGGCCTCATAAGGAGTAGCAGCTGTCATTATGAACACATGGTCATTATGAACACATGGTCCCCTGCACTCTGTCTTCACTGCGCATCCGCTTCTATTAAACACATCAGCCTCGAGATCAAATATTGATGCTATATGTAAACACACCAGCCTATTTTACACTCAAGTTCTGAAGTTGCTTTTCTTTTTTCTTTTCTCAGTATCAGTGTCTGTGTCCTGGTCTGATTCCACCTGACTGACATTTAAGGTTCCTGCACATCACGATCAGGAACACACACATAACTCCGATGACTTTCTTCACTAACAACAAACTCATTAAGATTTATGTATGTATGTATGTATGAATGTATGTATTTCTTTATTTAGTGTTTCTGCTGTTGGATCCTTGTGTTGTCTGAAGTCCTATCTGCATACACGCAAAGGAACGTTATCATTGAAAAGATAACGTTCACATTTAGGAGGAAGAACACATCTGGGTTCTGCTAGAACCTGACACCAGATCAGTTCTACATCCATCCAGGTGTCTCAGTCTGAACACTGGACCTGGTTTCTGGTCAGCACCATGTTTTCAAGTTGAATATCAAGATGAGAAGTGAAATTAATGTTATTGATTGAATATCCTTTAGAATAAATACCAGTACCATTTCCTGACACTAGATTTATCCTGTGAATAACTGATCTAATAAGACTATGATACATGTATATATATTTATATGGTTATCTGGTAGAACTGTGTCACCCACAAGGAGACGGGTCTACTTGTCCAGTAGAACAGAAAAAGCCTGATCCAGGGAGGTTCTGTGCATTATCCTCTACTTGAACCGGAGGACCTGAAACGGGCTGAGGCTGCTCCTCAGCCCGTTTCTTGGGGGGTTTCAGGTCCTCCGGTACGGCGGGGCTCCGTGCTGCTGCAGCCTGGGGTCGAGCACCAGAGGGGGCTGCAGGCTCACCGATGCTCGGGCTCAGGTGGGAAGCTTTGGATCAGAATGTGGTCGATTTCTGTGGTTCTGTTCCGACACCAGCCCGAACAGTGCCGACCAAAACACGTGGAGTTTCTAAGCTTAACATATTGATTTTTTGATTCGTTTGATTTTTTTCAGACATGCCGCAGTATCATAAAGGCATCAAAAAAAGAGGAAAAAATGAAACAGACAAAATTAGAAACAGAACCAGACACACACTGTCCTACAGCGTGGTGTCTGTGGAGCTCCAGGAGGCTGATCCGGGCCAGGCTGATCCGGGCCAGGCTGATCCGGGCCAGGCTGATCCAGGCCAGGCTGATCCGGGCTCTGAGGAGGAGTGAGTCGTGGAGCTACTGGAGAATAGCTCCTCTATGAACGCCCCTAACACTGACTTGCTGTGAATCACATTTTCCACCTCCACAGAGCCGCTCCAGACTGGGCCCCTCCGAGGAGCAGAGCTGCTGATCTGCTGCCTGACACTGAGCCTCCAGCTGGAAACGGACCGGAGATCCGAACCGGACACCGTTTGGGAACTTTTCTCCGAGTTTGGAGACTCACTGAGGGTTTTGGTGAACTTTGATGGGAGATCATGAGCACTTTTTGGATTAATGGCCTGTTTATTCACGTGTCAGCGGTGAACCCTGATGGACCGTTTAGAACCTAGAACCTGTGTTCCGGCCCAGTCTGCTAGTTATTGATAGGTCGTCGTTGATTATCGGGAGTATCGATTTGGGCTGACATGGACCTCCAGGTGGTCGTGTGGCTGTTCTACTGCGCTCTGCTGCCCTGCGCCCTGCTAACAGGTAACTCTCCTTCAACAACAACTGCTGGAACGAAACGTTTCACAAAGTTTCCCTCCAGTGTCCGTTTCCTCCCACCGAGCTCTCTGCTCACCGAACCACGGCTGGAGGACTACTCCCAGTCCTCCTCTGGTTCTGGTGCCTTTCATTACTGTTGGTGGGAGCTCTCATCAGACCTCCTCGGTGCTTTAGTCGGTGTCGGTTTCTCTTCTCGGTGAAATCCGATCGTGTAAACTGCTGAAGCTGCGTAAAACACTGATGTGGAGCATTCTGGCTTCACACTTCTGTTCTACTCTTGTTATTGCTGAGTTACTTACCGAGTCCGGTTAGTTCGGTTGTCGTCTGCAGGCCCAGACATTGTGAGCTGATGAGTAATGTTCACCTCCAGTCTGTCTCAGAGGCCACTGCAGCCTTCAAGGTGGTTTAGTAGAAATCTGGAGACAGAACTCTGAGCTGTCCTCCTCTCACGGCTGCTCTCTGCTTCCGACTACCTTTGAGCATTTCTCAACCTGTTGCTTCACTTGTTTTCTGCTTGAGGATCCTTCTAGTTTATATATATATGTGTATATAACTGGGTCCCTCCATGCGTCCTGTCACTGTCCTCAGCTTTGCCCTGTGCTCTGGAGTGGATGCTTCTGTCAATCATTACATTTCCAGCTCACACCTACACATGCAGACCTGCTCAATCTTGTCTGTCCATCAGGTCAACAGCTGACTTTATGTTGTCTTGTGGAGCCTTTTATATGTTTTAATGGTGGTTTGTAAAGAAAAACCTTTTCTAGGATGCAGGCTGTAGCACCACAGCTGGTCCCTGCAGGTGAATATGGCTGAATACCTGGAAAACAACCTTTATTTTTAGGAGTATGGACTTTTTAGGTCTTTGAAGTAGACCAAATGTAAATGGTCCGTACTTATTTAGTGGCTTTTTGCCATCACAAGGTTCTTCAAAGCTCTACTGGCAGCTCCAGCTATGAAACTCAGTTAGAAATGGTGACAGGAGACTGTTTCATGTCCTTCCTGCACTTTGCCTGCCAGATATCAACTTTAGGTTCTTGTAGGCTCACTCACTGTGATGAAGTGTGAGTAAATTAAAACATCAGTGAATCTTTCAGTGTGGTTATTCTTCCTCAGGTTAAGACTGACATGGTCACTGTGTGAGAACGAACCAATGATGCCTCATCTTTTATTTAGTTACAGATGGTTGTTGGTCAATAGTTAGGCTTACAGCTTACAAAGTGTGAAAGTGAATCCTGTGTTAAGTCCAAAGACGACAGGCTATCCCTCCTATGCAGCGCTCCATACAGGGCTACAGTCCAAAATTACAGATATTCAGACACACAGTCACTGACACAATCAAAACCCCTTTTTGACATGCAGTCCTTTCCATTGATCCGATGACATGGCTATTTGTTGGCTTTACGTCTGATTGAGAACCCTGGTGACCCTTTCATAAAAGTTGTAACAGCACTCTATGAGGTCAGGTCTCGTAACGTTTCTGTATCACTTTCAACATAGCACAAGTCCAAGTGCATGCCATCACATCAACAGACAGGCAGGCACAAGTGACAGGACTGTATCCAAGACTTTGTCCACAGTTTAACACCAATATTGGTCCTAAGACTTTACTTTGCTCTACAATTTAGCATCTATTCGGCTTTAAACAGAAACTTCCTTTAGTTAAGAATGTTACCACAATGAAAACAGAGACTAACAGCTTAGATTAGTGAGACTCACCAATGATAAATGTAATTTTTTGACAAAACATTAACAGGACCTGTTTTGTTTCCTTCGCTTGTTTTATAGAGTTTTACTCTGAGTTTACTAAATGCAACAGCACCTGTAACTTGTTTAATTACTTAATTACCTCTAAATATAAACTATACCCAACATGAAAAAAGGATCAGTCTGGGTCAGGATCTCATGGGAGGTTACACCTTCTACTTGTCTTCATACACAGTCACAGTTTACAAGTTACAGTTAAATAATGTTACATAGCAGACACACAATAAATCATCGTTTGATAAGCTGCTCTTAGTTTAGATTAAGTCTTCTGTTCATTATTGTGTTATCTAGCATACATCACTTGATGTACTGTCCAGTCTTGGTGAATGACAAACATTACAAGTGTGCTGTGCTTCTGTCCGTGTCTGTGGTGGGCATGTTTGAATGAAGTCCTGAGGACTGTTGAAGTAGAAACGACCAGACTGATGAAGCAACAGTGTTATTATACAATGTCTGAACAGTGCTTCGCTGAGGGAGCATTATGGTGAGGTTTGTTTTGAAGGTTTCCAAGTTTTATGTGTTTATGTGGATGATAGCAAGAGAGAGCACAAGACAGAGCAACAATCACAGAACGAGGGGAGGAGTCAGCTGACAGGATGTCACATGAAACAACTTGAACATTTGTGTCTTTCAGCACATTACGTTATTGTACTGAGTCAAAGGAAGTGAAAGATGCCAAAGTGTTGCCACACACACACACACACACACATACACACACACACACACACACATTTTTCCATTTCTTTAGAAGACATGATATGAACTTCAACTTATTTCCTACTTGCTTACTGCTAACCTACCTTGATCTTCACCCAGGAATTTCACACTCCACCCATCTGACAATTGAATTTTTGGGAAGCAGGTCCCCACAGTGTAACTGTATTCACGCACGCACGCGCGCGCACACACACACACACACAGCAGCTGTTCAAGCCGTCCAAAACACTGAAACAAAGTCGTCCCTTAACGCAGTGCTGTGTGACTCATATTTTGAACTTCATTGTGTGGATTATTGTATTTTTTTAAAGTAACTTGTGACACTTTGTCTTCTCGAGACTAACTTCATAATACCTGTAGATTAAGCCATTGAAAATGTGTACAAGCTTCAGGAGAAGCTGATGCATGAATACCTCCACTTCTTGTTAGCAAACGAAGTGTAGCTGCAGCTTCAGTTGAGTTTACACATTTTTTTCTCAACAAAATAATCCTAAACAACAAGACAAAAAGAGCACTTCTACTGTCATATATTTTGTCATATAGTTTGTTTCAGACTTGGAGTGGATCTATGTCCCTCATATCAGTACACAAACTGAAAACAAACATCACTGGGTTAGAGAGCTTGTTATTGTGTATGAGTGTTGCTAAGCTAGTGAGTCAGAGCCATTGCGCACTAGAGCAGTTTAACAAGACTTCATAGTTTAGTGAGAAATACGTGGAGTATATGTGAGCTGTGTGACGTCTGAGAAAAAGCCAGAGAGAGGAGGACGGATGAATGCTGCCATCTGTCATCAGTGGCAGTATTTGGGATTGAGCAGCAGCTCTACTTTCTAGAAATCTTAAACTCTACACTCTTTTCTTGACTTTGCAGATATATCTGATTTTCCTGTGCACTTTTTTGTTTCCCAGTTTTAATTTTAAGGACATGCTGTGTCATGTTAAAGCCAAGATGCAGCTTGTTTGGAGAGTTTGGCACCAGAACAGCATCTCCTCCAGCGCTCTGATGAGCCTGTCCTGAGAAGACCATGGATCGGATCTATCTATACCTCTAGCTGGACAGGGGCATGGACTGGTGATGTTTGCAAAGTCTGATGTAAGATTATTTTATGTCATGCCCCATCAACAGTCCGGTAATAGAAAACCTGCCCAGTCAGGTCCCACCTGTGAAGATCACTGCTGTCCCTCACAAGTTCACAGTCAAAGCTGTATGGGTGGCCATGCTGTTACCTGTTACCCAGACACTGATGTAAGGAATGATGCATTTGTGGGCGAATTAAGCATCAAGCAGCTGAACTACTTAATCTGTCCTTGTAGGTAAAGAAGGGACTTTTGTCTGTCATGCAGATACAAAAATTGCGTTGCATTCTTTTTTGGTATTTTTAGCAGTTTTGTTCAACCATGATTTGTAGTGTAGTTTCTGGTGTTAACAGACCAGTTCAAGTTTCTGGTAAACATTCTAGTAACTTCATCAGGATGTCGAAAATGTCTAAACTTAAAAGATAACTTTGAATCGACATCCATATCTTTGGTTTTTTGGTCAACAGATGTGTTTTTTTTCTGTCAGGATTTAAAAGTTCCCTTACTCCTACGTCTGCTGTCTGAGTTGTGTCTGATCACTGCCAATGAGATGATGGTTCTGGTATTGTTCTTTCTGTCATGGAAGCAGTGCAAATAAACACTGGGGTCATGGTAGAAACCCTGCAGCTAACTCACTGTTGACATGTACACACAGGGGCCCAATGATTTTAACATCAGCTACCCATTAAATACCTTCAGCAGCACTGTCACAACATAGTGTGTAATTAGGCAGCGTATCTGTGTGTGTGTGTGTGTGTGTGTGACAGCGGGAGAGCGTGTGTGAATTATAAATGTCTGTGCCTATTTTCTTTCCACAAAAACAGGAAAGTTGGTCAGCATGGACTCAACTACACACACTGAATGTTCCATTCCAACACAGCTGAGCTGGAAAGCACCTTCATCACATGTAGTTTTACTGCTCTTAGTTTTGAGGTGTTGTGAAGCAGGCTTGTTGGTTTTTTTCTCTTCAGGTAAAAGACAGAAGATTTCTGATGATTGAAGATTGTTGTTATTTTGCCAGCCTTAAAAAATCAGGTCAGATTTCAACAAGCCTTGGCATTGTCTACGAGATCTTCATCATAAAGCAAAAGACAAGAGGAATGTGAAAGTGACATTTTCCAGTTATTTCAAAGCATTCCCCAGTTTTGAGTCTCTCCAATTTTGTCTGCAGCATTCAGGAAATCAAAGTTAAGAGTTTGTAAAACTTGTATGTAAAAGCTAAGCCTGTATCATTCTGCAATGTGAGACTTATAAAGCTCAGCAAGCCTAAAGCATTTAGAACAGAATACAGCATGATCAGACAACCTAAATCTCAGGGTACAGCGGTATAACATGGAAACATTATCAACAGAAGCATCAGTTATAGAATAAAAGTGTAGTGCTGTTAACTAGCTGCCCTGTGGGCTCATGTGGATTTGTTCTTAGGGTTTTACCTGTTGCTGTGTTGCTGTCTGTTGCATTTGTTTCGTTTCCTCTAATGAATGCAAACTCTGTGTAAAGAGTGCTACTGCAAGTCCAGTAAGATGAGCCCTGCTTGACTTGGCATGATACAAGTAGCCGAAAGATGAAGTTGAAGCTGATAAAAAAGACTGATCACAACCAGTGAGAAGGTAGTTGAAATGATTGAAAAGCTTAATTAGCTCTGGAACTATCTGGACTAACTTCAAGCCATACTTGTCCATCATAACTCAGACCCTGAAATGTTATGTCCTTGCTTGGTCAGTATAAGACTACATGACAACTCAGGAGATGGAATCAGACACTTCCTATTATTTAGGGGCATGTTCAGAAAACCAAAGGGATTGTGCTGTGAGAAGGAGAAACTGAGGCAGAGGCATGAGCACTGGAATGAAGAGTTGTAATATCTAATCATGAAGCCACAGCTGCTGTTGCATCAGACAATGGTGAAACAAAAATATCAGACAAAAAGAAATACTCGGAGTGTGAATATAAGACGCAGATGACTCTATGTTGGAAACATAACCGACATAGAGGGCAGAGTGCTGGTAAGAGATACGTGCTGTCGTTACTGAGCTATGTTATCATGTCTGCTCGTAGACATCCTTTTGGGTGTGTTTGATGATAAACTGGACCACAGGGCGGAGCTCGTCAACACTCAGTTCGTTCTGTATGTTGAAACTGATGCTGTGGTTATGGACAGTAATATGCTGCTCTGTGAATCATACATTTGCTAGATAAGGATCAGGCTAATCCAGATATTTTTGATGGCTAAGTGTACTTTATAAAACCTAATCCCATACTAGTCTAGTGATTTTCTTTTCTTGTTTAGTGCGGACGTTTTTCTTTTTATATCTTCAGGTCTTTAAAACAACCTTCAAATAAAGCACACGCAGCTCATGTACAGCAAGTAGTGCTGGTATTTGCTGGAGAAGCTGTATTAGCCAGTGACATGTAGTGTCACCTTTGACTGCAGTTACAGCAACTGGGCCTGTGTGGGTAGGTCTCAATCAGCTTTACACATCTGGACACTACTATTATGCCCCATTCTTCTTTGCAAAACTGCTCAGGCTCTGTCTCTGACTTGGTCACTCCAGAACATTTCTCTATGCATTTATTTTACCCTCTAGCTTTACAAGTTTTCTAGTGTCTGCTGCTACGAAGTATCTCCACTCCATGATGCTGCCACCACTGTGCTTTACGGTGGGGATGGTGTGTTAATGGTGATGTACAGTGTTTGGTGCCAAATGTAGCATGTAGTCTGATGGCCAAAAAGCTCAATTTCGCTTTAATCAGACTAGAGACCTGGGATAGTGGTATCTGCTTGGAGTGTTCTTTTATCTTCAAAATGTGTTTATAGCCAGGAGTTCTGAGTCAGTGTGGACTGGACCTTCCAGCTACAGGTACCTTTATATCAAAATTAATCAAGACACATTCACTGCAGTCCAATGATCTGATGATCTTTTTTTTGTGTGTGACAAAGAGACATGGGTTTCGATCCAAACCCATGTGTCTTTGTGCTTTGTCGACCATGAACGAAACTTGGGCTTCATGTCAGCCACTACTAGCTGACACGGTAACAGGACAAATGGTACCAACATAGACTCAAGAACAAACTCTGGAACATAAGAGGCGTTGGTCAACCCAGGAACTGGTGAAGCATTGGCTGTGGTGTTGGACAGTTAGACCTTCATGGTGCTGGACAGGGACACCTCCTTGACCCAGATTCAGAAACAGATTTGATGACAAGAAAGGCGTTGACCCAGACTCAGTGAC